AAAAAAAAAAAAAAAGTATGTATATATACACACAATTTGGTCTCTCCACCCTCCTGCTTAAACCCCTACACTCTCTTCCCATTGCCCTTAGAGTAAGTCAGTGTCCTTCGTAAAGGCCTATGAGGAAGAATCCAGGTCCTCCTGCAGCCTCATCTTGGGTCACTTCCCCCAGTATGAACATGCTGTTCCCAATACTTCAAACCCTTAGCAATCCCCCTGCCGCGCCCCTGCTTAGCCAGCTTGTACCCATCCCAAACTTCAGTCCTTCCAGAAAGCCATCTCTGGAGTCCCCTGAGGTGTGTTCCCCAACATCATGTTATGCTTCATAACACTAGGTTGAGCTGTATAAAAGTGCCATTTTGTAGGGCAGAAATGGTAGAATGTTGACAATTTTATATGCTTTAATCTTACAGTAACTGCCATAGTAGTGGTCATCTTGAGTCCATTTTAAACTCTACCAGGGCAGAATCTAGATCTGACTCACAGCTATAATCCTAGTGCCCCACACCCAATCCTGGCCCGTAGTAGGTGCTTAACGGTTTAATTAATGTGGGATGTTGTTAATGCCTTTTTAATTCTAAGAACATAATTGTTGTATTGTCATTAATAGTTAAAATCATGCTTTTATTCAAATGCTATTTTTACATTCCATAGGAATGAAATTTTTTTAAATGGAATAAAAAATCACTTTAATCACTTTCATTTCTGTTATTTCTGGAAAGCATGAATTCTAGTAAGTGTGATATATATATCATCAAGAATACAATTTAGCTCACTGGTAAGGTATCGATTTATGGATTTTATTAAAAGCTCAAATGTTTCTCCCTGCTTGGCAGAATGAAAAGAACTCTGAAAGGAAACCAGATAATTTGGATTTATCTCCTTTTACAGCTTTTGCCATGTGACAGCAAATCAGCTAAGGAAAAAAGACAAAGTGTGCTGGACTTGAAACTGAGCAATGTTAAAATACACTTGCCCATGACATTCAAAAGGGATGCATTCTGGAACATTTCCAAATCACCTTATCCAGCTATGCCATAGCTGTGCCCCTCATGAAATGAACACAGACCAAGCCTAAACCAAGTTGGGATGGTAGACAGGGTAGGCTAAGCTAATTCACAACCCAAGCAACTTAATGATATTAATAGTGGCAGTAATGGTTAACATTCATGTTTATTATGCACAAGGCACTGGGCTAAGTATCCCACATATATCATCTTATTTAATCCTTGCTACAACTTCATGAAGCAGGTTCTATAATGAAACCAAGGCGAAATGAGGCTGCCCATTTGGTAAGGTCCCTTAGCTGTGAGTGATAAAGCCGGGATTCAAAGCCAGGCCTTTTATGGAAGAATCCAATTGCTTCTGCTCCCCAGTTTGGAGGAGTAGAAAATTCAAATTTGTGCTGTCACAAAAGTGACAAATGACTATGTGTACACACCGCAGCTTCAGAGTCACCATGAGACACCAAAACTGAACAGCAAATTCAGTTGAATTGTCCAAGCCGACCGTCGAAGAATCTTTTCAAGAGCCCCAGTATTCAACTGTAAACAGTAAAAGATATTCTCAACCTGGGCTGGAAATAAAGGTAGGAGTTCAACTTGATGGGCGAAGAAGAGTAGAGAGTGTCAGATGTGCATAAATATCACAGGCTCAGAAATACTTGGTCTTCCAATTTGTTCCCTAGATTCTTTTTTTTTTCTTCAGACAGAGTCTCACTCTGTTGCCCTGAGTATAGTACTGTGGCATCAGCTCACAGCTCACAGCAACCTCAAACTCCTGGGCTCAAGCCATCCTCCTGCCTCAGTCTCCCGAGTGGCTGGGACTATTGGCGCACACCACGACGCCTGGCTAATTTTTCTATTTTTAGTAGAGATGGGGTCTCACTCTTGCTCAGGCCGGTCTCGAACTCCTGAGCTCAAGCAATCCTCCCACCTTGGCCTCCCAGAGTGCTAGGATTACAGGTGTGAGCCACCATGCCCGACCCGTTCCCTAGATTCTTAAAAAATCATCACATTTTAGAAAGTTTTTGAGAAATCAGAGACTCTATGAAATGAATAAATAAGTCTGCAATTTCACTTTCTATTGGTTAGTCAACAATCCTTAACTGGACAGTTCTTTCTCACTAACATTTAACAAAATTACCTACCTCTTTCAGTAGCAGAGAAAATGAACATACTAACATTCACACCGTGGAAATATAATTTAAAAAATAAGCACAAATTACTAAACCTTTCCATATGATTCATAGGTGGTAGTTATGAGATTATCACTCCCCTCCCCCTTCCATCTTTGTGCATTGACATTTGACCCTTTTTATAATATGCACCTTGTACCAGTGAAACCTTCGGCACCAGTTAGTTACTCATTAAACTCGGGTGCCAAGGGCTGACTTGTACAAATTATGCTGTTAACTGCAGAGCCGGGCCTGTGTGTAGAAGTAGAAAAAAGCAATCGTCATAGCTGTGAAATTCTGTCATATCCACAGAATTGAACTACAAATTGCAGCAATTCGTGCCTGACCTCTGATCTGTGAAGTTAGTCTAAACCTTTGAACCTTAGCTTAGAACTGAGAACCAGCGTTGCGTCTACTGGGGAAGATGGCAGGTGACCCGCGCTGCGCTTGGCTGGCACTGCGACTGCACATCGCCCCACACCTGCCTCCTCCAGGAGTCCACCAGAGGAAGAGACACACGTAACAGGAGTCTCGAGAGCGGTAGACGACTCACAAAATGGCATTAGGAACAAATCTAATAAAAGTAGAAAATTTCAGGGTGCAAATCTTTTTAAATGAATGTGCCAAAATTAGAAAAGGGAATCTGAGATCATTGAAATGATTAGACTTAGTGATATAGGACCTAAAAAATTCTCTTTACAAATTAGACAAAAGTAGAGTTAAAAACTAAATATTTAAAATAATTTTTAACCAACTGGCGCCATGTCTCACTTAAT